TTAGTTACGCCTTTTGCTTAATATTTCCTTGATTTCAACAGTTGCTATGGTTTTAATTGATGTGGATATCTTCGAAACATTGTGAGATAGAGATGGTAACTTGAGATTTTGATACATTGATTGAGAAATGTTTGAGGACAAGCATTGAATAAGTGATGGGGAATTTGATGAGTGATTTAAATAGTTATTATTTTGTTGTTAATTATTCCTTATTCGTCGGTTTATGTTGTTAAGTTGAGTATTTTTCTCTTATTTTTTGTGCAGGACATTGGATTCCAGAAACTATGCAAGGTGAAATTCTACAGTTTTTATTTTTCTGGAGTCAAGGCTGGACTAGTGGGCTTGACTCGGCTGACGTGGCATCCAATCAACACATTCTAGAAAGTCCAATCAACATTTTCGTGAAGACATAAGGCTCGACTACAAATTCAAATTTGAAACTAGGATTTATCTTTATTTTTGGGATTTAATTCAAACAATTTCTAAGAATTGTCTTTTGTAATTTCTTAGGATTTATCTTCAGCATTTTTAGGATTTTAAGAAGCTATAAATACCCCTTGGGAAAGCTTCAAACACATCTCAGATTTCTCGAATTACTTTGTTCATGTTTTCTTCATTTTATAAATGTTTTCTTTTCTTTTTCGTTTCTTTTTACTTTTCAAGTTTATGTTTACTTTCTTTACAAATGCTAAGTATGATTTCTATCATACTTAGCTAATTTTCACATAAGCCAAAGGCTGAAACAATGACTCAATTTCGATCGTGAGAATTGAAAAGTACCTAATACCCTTCGAGTTACATTCTCAATTTTCTACAAAATTTGATTGGCAATCGGCCTTTCCTTTAAAAATTCAAACGTTTTCAAATAAAAAAGAACTTGTTGACTTGATTGTCGTTTCGATTTAAAGTTGAGAGGAAAGATCGACTTGTAGCACATTCGACTTCCTGTTAATACACTTAGTTGCAGTCCGCTAAGGGAAATTGAGATCGGATTCGGTTCTCATTGAGGCAACATAGTCCGAGTCGGGTTTTTCCAAATCTTTAAACTAAGTTGGCGCTAGCGACGATAATCATGGTTAGTCTACAAAAGGACAAAAATTCAAAGATAGATTTTGGATTGTCGGTTTACCAGAGAGAAAAATAAGTTATAGGGGTTGGGTATTGTAGACTGCAACAAGCATGAATTCGAAGCGAAAATCTTGTTTAATGATCGAAGGAAATTGAGGCAAAGCGAAACCTGCGGCTGCTTTTACTGAAGTGATTTTTCATCTCAACTTTTACCTTCTTTTAAATCACTTAGATTTTATTCTTTATTTTTATTCATTTTCTTTCAAACAAAATCCCCCTATTTTTACTTGAAATTCACGTGTAGACCATAATCAAAAGCCTTCTACATCAACAATTCCAAGTTCATATGGATCGACCCTTAATCTCACTATACTTCTTTATTTTATTTCTTTTGAGATTAAGGAATTTATTTGACAGTAAAACGACGCTTGTCAAGTTTTATGTGAGAGATAATTATTTTAGAGAGATGTAATCCTTTTTTAGATCTTTGTAACTTTTGAGGTTTATGTTGCAGATATAGTTTTATAGGGATGTTGGAAGATTATTTTAGGATCCACTAGGTTTTGAGATACATATGATATCATGTATTTATACTCTTCGTATTCTCTACGTGTATAGTGAATTGTTATTTATCTTGCTTGTAAAGGTAGATAAGACTTAACAACGTTGAATTTTATCTCTTATGCACGTCTTATTTTATATTTTATATTGATATCAATTTTTTATATCCTAAATTTCTAACTTTTTTTTTGAGATGTCAAGTCAAGAACATCCATGAACAAACGACACAACCGACAGCAAATGCTCAAGTGCCCACTCATTGATAATGTCAATTCCATAAATTAACACTAGATTCCAAAACAATTGTGCATTGCCAATATGGTAGTGTCTCATCTCACCGTATATTTTAAACTAGAGTAGTTTTTACATGTATATTTAATTAAATTCATATGCTACATTATCATTTATTATGAATCATTATGTTAGTATCGTAGATCGTCATATAAATATCATGAATCATCATATCAATATCGTATTTTATTATTAAGTAATTAAATTATTTTTCTAATTTAAAGACCATATTAAATAAAAAATAAATTCAAAGACCATATTAAATTTTTTGAAAAAAAAATTGGGGGTGAACACCGTTGATTTTAAACTATTTAATTTATGGCTAAAATCCACACCAAATCCATGGCAAAAGGAGATCAAGGGGTACGAAAAATGGCCTCCTCCATATATGTACATACATATGCTATCTTACTCCCTAAATTGCCCTTCTAAATTAAACTAAACTAAACTAAAACAATTCCCTTAGTTTCCAACCAAATATATATATGTATACCCTTAATTTTTTTTTTTTTTGCCCTCCAGTTCCATGGTTTCGTCCTGGCTAATTTGGATTAACTCAGGTCGTACACTTGATTATGGTGGGTGAGTCTCCCAACGGGAATTTTCTGCATACGCAATGACTCGAACCTGAAACATTGCTTAAGCGATATCAAGCTACTTACCACTTGAACCAACCCCGTTTGTATATATCCATAATTTTCAACCATATCTATATAGAGAGATCATGATTCACTTGTATATATTTACGTAAAAAAACTATTTTAATTTTTTTCTATTCTATTCAATAAAATAAAGATGTATATTTGCGTTAAATCAAATTAGATGTGAATATAAATTTTTATCTTAAAAATAAATTTGAATTTTGATTCAAATACAACAATTTTAGTTTAAACAGGATCAGATCAAATAAAACATATTATACTCAATCAAATTCAAAACTAACTGAAAATCATATCTATAATCATTCAACAACAATCCACAGAAAAAGATTCCACAAAATTTAAAATTAAAGATCACGAAATTTCTAAAAACATGTCAAATCATAGTTTAACTTTTAAGCTTACATCAAACAACAATAACCTGTTTTGTTCTAGTTATTCCAAGATTCCTTATAAGTAAAAGAAATGAGAAATGAATGTAAATATTTAATGGGTAAACTATAAAAATAGTCCCCCAAACTTTTAGGATGCTTGCATTTTGGTCATCCAACGTTTGAAACTTGCAATGCAATACAATTATCGAACTTTTAGTTTGTTTTCATTTATGTCCCTACCGTTACCTCTGTTAGATTTTTGTTGACATGGCAGGTAACGCCCGTTAATCCTCCTCCTCCTCCTCCTCCTCCTCCTCCTCCTCCTCCTCCTCCTCCTCCTCCTCCTCCTCCTCCTCCTCCTCCTCCTCCTCCTCCTCCTCCTCCCTCCTTTAAAAATATAAAGAGGTAACGGAAGAGACAAAATGAGAAAGAACTAAAAGTTCAATAAGTGTATTGCAAGTTTCAAAATTTAAGTGATCAAAATACAAGTGCCCTAAAAACTTGGAGACTATTTTTATAGTTTACTCATATTTAATAAAGGAAAAGTACCTAAGGAAACACGTGTGGAACGACAATCGAAGTTAACGAAATAATTATTACTATCAATTATTGAGATAAATTAGACCAGTAAAAAAAAGAGTAAACTATAATTTTATTATTTAAACTATCAGTTTTAATCTATTTCAGTATCTCAACTTTTAATTTTTTCAAAACCATATTTAACTTTTAGTTTTTCTGTTTTTGTTTTATTTTAATACCACATTTATAAAACTTAACGTCAAGCTTTGAAAATTTTAAAAGTTTAAGTATCAAAACAAACCAAAACTGATAATTTATATATTAAATGTGTTAAGTTTTTTAATAGGGTATTAAAATTAAAAAAATAAACGTTGGGTATAGTTTTGAAAAAATTGAAAGTTTAGGTATTAAAATAAATCAAAACTAATAGTTTAGATATTGCATGTATAATTTACACTAAAAACTTTAAAATATACTTTTGAGAGATTTTATTATTTATGAAGAATTTGATATAATTTAATTCAAATTTAATTAAAACCAGAAAAAAATTATTTACAAATTAGTTTTTTAATATGAAATTCATAATTCTATTAAAAGAATTAGAAGAACTATATGAAAAATGTATGAGGTGTCATGAGTTTAATGAATAAGAAATTTGGTATAAACTATTGAAATAAATTTCACTTAAATCGTTGAGCTATCCGTTCAAAAAGCACACATGAAAAACCTGTTTACACAGTAGATAATTTGAATAAGTGGAATGAGCCCATTAACTGCCAAAATTTAACATTGCATAAAGACATGCTAGAAAAGAAGCTCAAAAACACCGGGAAGCGATCGATCGAATTGAGTCAAATCGAGTTAAATTTTTTTAAAGTTATTCGATTTGATGAGTCATATTTTATAACTTGAGTTGATTTGAAACTTTTTCGGGTTTGTTTAAATTTAATTATAAATATTTATAATATTATGATATTATTTTATTCTAATTTAATTTTTTTTATAATCATATATGATACATGTGTATTTCTTTATATTTTTTTATATGTGATCTACATTTATGATACAGAGTCGATGGACTCAACTCAAACTTGAAAATCAATCTACTAATTATTAAAAATTTTGATTTATTTGAGTTACTTTTCGAGTTATTCGAATTGTATTTTACAACTTGGTTTGAACTTAAAATTTTTTCAAGTTGAGTCGAGCTTTCTCAAGTCGAGCTAAATCAAAAAAATGGATTATTCGAGTCAACTCGAGTTTTGCTCATACCTACGAGCACAAAAATGAACATCATATTAAATATTATATATATTTCATGCAACTTCCAGGAAGTAGGGTCTTCACAGGATTGCTAATGATAGGTGCAAGAAGCTCCCCATGGAACCATAAAAATCTATCCTTTGTTTTCCTTTATCTGGACATTTAATTGTCTTCAATGGCCACTCTCTCTTTCCAGGAAAACCCTAGTCTCTTCCCCTCCCTCTATATAACCCCCTCCTTTCTTCTTCCTCCACTAACCTCCCCTATTCACTTACCTTACCCCACAAGTTATCACAGCAACACTGATTTCGGCCTAATGGAGCCCAACATCGCGGTCAATTTCGAGGACTACTTCCCGTCGATGATGGAGCAGCTGGGCGCCGAAGGCTTCATCGGCGAGCTGTGCAACGGGTTCCGGTTGCTGATGGACGGCCAGCGCGGGCTGATAACGTTCGAGAGCTTGAAGAAGAACAGCGTTATTCTGGGGTTGAATGACATGGGAGACGATGAGATCGTTTGCATGTTGAGCGAAGGCGATTTGGACGGAGATGGGGCATTGAATCAGATTGAGTTTTGCAATCTCATGTTTAGGTTAAGCCCAGGGTTAGTGGTGGATGATAATAGTAATAATTATTATGGATCAAGGCAATGGGTTGAAGAATATATATGATTGTTATGTAAAACTAGGTTTCCCTCCTAATTTCATCTTATTTCTTGTTGTTTTTCATTGAATTGTTGGGTAAGCTTGAAGTTAAATATTTCAAGCTTAAAGCATGTCCGTGGATAATAAATAAATAATTAACATCTTTGATTCCACTACTTCCTTTTTCAAATTCCAACCTTTTTCTTACTTCGCATTACCCAAAATTATCTTCTTCTCCCACTATTTTCCATTTTTCCAAATATAGCATAGATTCAACCTTCGAAAAGTGAGAGAAAATACAAATAATAAAAGGCATGATACCGAAAATAACCCTTAATGTTTTTTATCATTTTGCCACCAACGTTTCACTTTGGAGCAAGAAGCCCCCTATATAAATGGAAACTATTAGTTAACATACAATCGACGCTCCTAAATAGGAGCTTTTTAAACCTAAAATAAAACGTTGAGGGCTAAAATACTCAAAAAAATAGGCTAGAGTGATTATTTATCAAATATTAAGGATTTTTTTGCCCTAAAATAAAATATTAGGAGCCGAAATCCTTAAAATAGAATACGGGAGAAAATGACCATATTGATAAATATTAGTAACTAATTTTAGTGTTATGCCATAACAAAATGATCTAAAGGTACTGTACATTCTTAGATTGCAGCATCTAAGTCCAGTAATGCATGCAACAAAAGACAAATTGACTGTCACATGTATATATTATGATCTTTTTGAAAAATATATATACTTATATCTAAATATGTTATATATGCCTCTGTGGATATACAATACTACTATGTATGCTTAGTCACAACTCAACAGAAAATTTTTGTCGTTTGTAAGTCATCTTTTTATTGTTAAAAAGATAATTTAATAATATTTTTTATATTAAGGTAATTAAAAAAAACTTACCATCTTTTTTGAATTGTAAATTAAGAACTTCGAATCATCCCTGCAATTAAAAATTACAACATATTGGTTGATGTTGATTTATCAAAGTGTGGTTAAAGCTGGTGGCACCTCCCACCTTCTGTCGCGTCTTTCTTCTATCTCCGATCATTACAATCACCCATTTTTGCGATAATCGTCGCTTGAATTATGAGGGTTCGAACGATTGGGTGCCGTCAAGATTTCGGCCGATTGGTGACGATTGTGGCAGTCGATATTGGTGAGGAAATTGAAATTAGGGTTTTTCGGTATTTTGAGCTTTTTTATAATTTTTAAAAAAAAATTGAATTTGTTTATAAAAATAAGAGAAAATAACCTCTGTGACCGAAAATGCCTTGTAATATACGATTTTGACCAACTTTTTTTGGATTTGCCAAAATGACCAAGTAAATCGCAATGCGATCGATAATTCGCAACGCGATCTCCGGTATCGCAAATCAGTTTCCAGATTCGCAATGCGATAGTTGAAGTTCGCATTGCGATTTATTCTAAATTCGTTGCAATAGGCGAAGTTCGCGTTGCGATTCATTCCAAATCGTTGCGATAGTCGAAGTTCGTGTTGCGATTCATTCCAAATCATTGCGATAGGTGAAGTTCGCGTTGCGATTCATTCCAATTCGTTGCGATAGGCGAAGTTCGCGTTGCGATTCATTCCAATTCGTTGCGATAGGCGAAGTTCGCGTTGCGATTCATTCCAAATTCATTGCGATAGGCGAAGTTCGCGTTGCGATTCATTCCAAATATTGCATTTGTTTCTTAAGAATTTTCTCTAAAAAGATAGAATTCGTGCGGACGTGTCAAAGACACGTATTACCACGACCACGACCACGACCACGACCCGAGACGAGACGGCGGCGGCGGCGGCGCGCGAGAGTCCCCTTGTTCTCTATCACTCAACAAGGAAGTGGGAAAGCCAAGCCTTAAATACCATTCACAATAGTGTTTCCAATACTATGTGGGATTGAGCATTACCAACACTTGTTTCCAATACCATTACCTTCATTGTCTGTAAGAGTTTAATTTTAAAACTAAAAAAATATTTATTCGAATAAATAACTTACCCTTTGAGAACTTTGATGGAAGAAAAATATTAACCAAACAAATGCAAAGGAGACAATGATGGAAGTTTTCAACTGAAGATGCTACGAAAACTAGCTGATAATGACACAAAGGAAACATATCGAGTTGTTTGGTCATCATCTACTCTTTTCAAGTAAGTCATTTGAACACTATAAGAACCCGAATCAGAGTTAGTTTTAGCAATTACTTCATTTATGATCAAAGTCCTCAAAGGGTAAGTTATTTATTCGAATAAATATTTTTTTAGTTTCAAAATTAAACTCTTACAACAATGAAGGTAATGGTATTGGAAACAAGTGTTGGTAATGTTCAATCCCACATAGTATTGGAAATACTATTGGGAATGGTATTTAAGGCTTGGCTTTCCCACTTCCTTGTTGAGTGATAGATAACAAGGGGGACTCTCGTGTGCCGCCGCCGCCGGTTTGTCCCGTCTCGGGTCGTGGTCGTGTTAATACGTGTCTTCGACACGTACGCGCGAATTCTATCTAAAATTTTAGAGAAAATTTTTAAAAAACAAATGCAATATTTGGACTATCGCAACGAATTTGGAATGAATCGCAATGCGAACTTCGCTTGTCGGAATGAATCGCAACGCGAACTTCGCCTATCGCAACGATTTGGAATGAATCGCAACGCGAACTTCGACTATCGCGTTGCGAATCTGGAAACTGATTTGCGATACCGGAGATCGCATTGCGAATTATCGATCGCATTGCGATTTACTTGGTCATTTTGATAAATCCAAAAAAAGTTGGTCAACATCATATATTACAAGGCATTTTCGGTCACTGAGGTTATTTTCTCTAAAAATAATGATTTTAAGTTTTTTTAAATAAATTTTTTGAAATTTTGTATGGCTAACACGTATCAAATAACGGCTAAATTTAACATCGTTACAGTCCAAGCACCTATTTTATAATGACAAGGAATATAGATAAAATAGATGTTAGAAAGGGGAAAAATCAATGGTCTTCTAAAGAAATAAATAAACAAATACAGTGGCTGAGAAATTTGTACAGCGATTATTAAGGCCAAACGAAAGTTAATATTAAAAGGATTTTATAAGAACATAAGGTGGCGAATGCATGAATTATTGCACCATATCGATGGAAACTTTAGAAACCTATTTTTAGAAAAAATTCTTTAAACACTAAAAGTTAATTTAAAATATAATTTAGACACTTAAAAGTGTATTAAGCCTAGCTTTTCTTGAATAATATAAGTTTTTATTTTTACTTTAGAGGTAACCGCTTGAACTCGTATATTTTTAAAACAATAATATTTCATTTTGCTATTAAAATTAGGTAGAAGGGTAACTTCTGCTCCTATAGTAGACCAAATTTATCACTTTCACCCCTATTATATTTTTGTATCAATTTAGCCCTCGAAGTTGTTCAATTGAATCATTCTATAATCTACCCCTAATTTAAAATCCTAAATTATAAACCCTAAACCTAAATCATAACCATAATATCCCTAAACACTAATTTAATGTTTATAATTTAGGATTTCAAGTAAAGGAAATGGTATAGAATAACGAAATTAAATAACTTTAAGAGCTAAATTAAATACAATATGAGCGAAAACGATAAATTAAATCTACTACATGGACAAACGTGACCCTTAATCCTTAAAATTATTTAATAGATTCTGATATTATCTTATTTCAATCAACAAAATGAAAATCTATCTTGAAAATTTGTTCATTTCGGTTCTTCCATAAACCCCAAATAATCGAAGAGAATAAAGATCCCCACTGAATTCCTTCCATTCCCAATTTCTTTGAACAAAAGATTACCTTTAACCACTCGTTGAATTCTCTGGATTCAAATCGGCTGTCCATGAAGATGTTTCGAACTCCTTCCGAATTGCTTTTGCGATTGTGCGTCTCCTCAAAATATGTTCAACTGTTTCAGTCTCGCCTTGGCACAAGTTGCAGTCCGAGTTCTGCGTCATATGTTTCTTCATTCTCATTTCATTTGTATTCAGTCTGTTTAACATACAAAGCCATACGAAAAATCTTACACGTTCAGTTGTTTTCAGATTCCACACACATCCCATATTCATGTTCCGTCGCCTATCGCTGTTTATATTATACAGATCTTTGAAAGCTTGATTTCACAGTAAACTGACCACCCTTAGAATGTCCCCAGATTACCTTATCCTCGTCTTCATTGTGATTTAACCAGGGAATGGGAGTACTGCAGATTTGATCAATCGCGTCCTTCAAGACCATATTCTGTAGAACACTGATGTCCCAGCATTTATTCTCCAATATAAATCTAGCCACCTTTTCATTTTGACAATTTTCCCTCTCTGGATAATCTTTAATCAAATCAGATTTTCCTGTCCACCAATCATTCAAGAAATCTATTTGCTCTCATGGTCGGATTTGGTGTTTACAACCATTCTTAATGACCTCTTTTGTTTTTAATATCCCTATCCATGCATGTTGGTGAAATGTTTTCACGTTTTTTTATGTTCAGGAAATTCTCCTGATTCAGATAATTTTCTTATAAAATTTTACGCCAAAGGTCATTTCTTTGAAACATCTTCCAACCATTTTTTTCCATAAGCGCCAGGTTCATAATTCTTGTCCTGCGGATACCCAAACCTCCTGTCATCTTTGGACGATAAACAACCTCCCAGATAACCAGGTGGTTTTTTGTGTACTCTAGTCCGCCTGCCCACAGAAAATTCCGGTTGATGCTATCTAATCTATTGCAGGTTGCAATTGGTAAAACATTTGTTTGCATAGTATGAATAGGTATTGCTGATGTCACCGCTTGAATGAGAGTTCTCCAACCAGCCATAGATAGCACTTTCCCTTTCCAACCAGCTAGTTTCTTCAGAACTTTCTCAATTAGGGGAGCAAAAATTTCTGAATTCGCTCTTTTGTGTATAATTGGAACCCCCAAATAGATGCCTAGGTCTTCATTCCTTGGAATGTTGCTAAGTTCCCTTTATTTAATTTATTAATTTATTATAG